AGTTTTCTTACTTGCCAGGAAGGATGTTAGTCTGAAAGCTGAAGGCCTCATGTTCAGCTTAATATTTATGGAACTGGTTGCACACAGGCAGCAGTAGCATAGATTTTCCCATGCTCTATCATTTCTGTGTGTTGCAAATGATCTTGAGGCACAGATAAAAGGAGAAAGGGCAGACTGGTTTTTGACCCTTCTCTGGAAGAGAGCAGAGATGTGTTAGCAAAGGCTGTTGATGTGTGTGCTTGCCATTGGGAAGGAGCCTGCAGTTGCGCAGACCGAATTGAACAGCATTTACAACTCGCTGCCTGGTTGGGATTTAAGTGAGAGACATATCTATTCATTCCTGAACCTGTCTCCATGCAGTTTGTCAGAAGACTGGATGGAAATACATTATCCAAGGCATATGTATGTGATTAAAAATCCACTAACCATATAGAAAATAAAAAGCAAAAGGCTCTGGTTATATGTATAGGTGTTCATGTGGTTTGGGGCTGAAATTCAGATCAGGGGTTTTAAAAGTGGCAACCCAGCATTCTCAGAAGTGCTGGCTAGCTGTGCTCCTGACCAGCTTTACTAGCAGCTGCTGTATCCTGCTTGTAGATTGGGATGTTCTGGCCTTGTTTGCCTTAAGGAAAGCAGGTGAGGTTATGCTGTGCTTGGCTGTATCATACTGGCAAAGCTGAAGCTGAAGCTGAATTCCCATGTATTTGCTAACATAACAGCATGTGAAAGCCAAGAGCTGCATTAAAGCATGGTACGTTGTCATTCTCATGGTGCTGGCCTGTGCTCCCCAGCCAAGTTATTGTTTGGGAACCCTGCCTGTTTCATGTGATACGTGTTAATAGTCATCTTGTGACCATGGAGAAAAACTGAGTAGAGCAAATCTTTAAGGGTCCAAAACGAAGACAAGTGTTGTGAACTCTGTCTTTATTTTTGTAGCTATTTTTCTTGGGGGGGGGAGGGGGATGGGGGATCAATTCTTGGGTTTAACAATGGTACAAGGGTTAGACTGAAGTAGGAGGAGACTTTACTGAGATTATGGTAACTCTGCATTCATCACTGCTTTACCTTGAGAAAAGACTGAGCTAAAGCAGGGGGAAGACAATGTTAAGAGGTGAAAATTGGAAAGACTTAATGAGAAATTGAAGACACAGCATTAAGAAAAGAGGGCTAAGATTTAATAAATTTCCAAAGAAGAATCTTAAGTCAAATCCTGTCACCTTTTCACAGTATTGAAGAATGAAAATGGCTCTTGTAACAATAAAGAGCAATATTTGAAACATCTCTAGAATATATTTTAGTGCAATTCATCAGGTAGTACAAAATGCCATTGAGGACAAGGACACAACAGGGTTCAGGATGGCTCCAAGAGGCACAACAAAAAGTTACTTGGACAACCAGGCTTCTGCTCCCTGTAATCCAAGCTTTTCCTGCAGTGGTCATCCAAGAAAAAGCAAGTTTAATTTCACATTCTAATGTTCTTAATTTTTCATGTTATTCTGTTTTTAGGGTATTTTTGTAGCAAGCATTGATTGGGTTTTGTCCACCAAGAAGGCAGTGGAATTCAGTGCTAAGTCAAGGAAGACATGCTTAGGATAGTGTCCTTAAGTAATATAAAGAAGTCTGTCTTTGAAACAGAGATGTGTTTTACAGTGAGAAGCTATGCAAATTGAAATAGAGTGATAATAGCATTTCATAGCCTTGTGCCTGGTTACATTGAAGTTGCATTTATCTTTCTCTAGGGAGCTGGTTTTACAGCTCAGTACACTTGAGCAAACTGATGTAATTTTCCTAAGTGGCTTTTTCTGCTACAGACATTGGCAGTTCATGTGCTTTGGGTACAAGATGGACTTTCATCTAATGCCCAAAACCAAGTCATTGGATATTTTTGTGTATCAAGGTATCGTGTCCATCCTTCACTCCTCTGTTTGAAGGGGTTAAGTTATGTGAATCAGTAACTGTAGAGTATTGAGCGTTTCTGGATGGGTCGTACTACAGAATACAAAAGCTCTAAAGGACAAGGCACCTGGCCTTTGTACCTCATGAAAATAAAGGTTTTATTAGAAGGTGAATTCTTTCATTGGTAAGCCGTGCCAGACAGTGGCATTTTGATACCCAGTCATCATGGCAATCGCAGCCAGAAGCCTCATCAGAGCCAACTTTATTAAGACGTGTATGTTAAACATTTCACTTTGGGAAGGCAGAGTGGGGTTGGCCATGCACACAGGCTGAGAAATATCTCTGTGTCTGCAATTTCTCGGGTTTTTTCAGTGCCCATAGATTCTCAGCTGGTTACGCATGGTTGGCATTCTTTGTTTCGGGCTTCCACTGAGGCTACATTCCAGCTCAGTTAAAGTATACAGTATATATATAAAGTATATAGTTTGTACCAAAATTCATGCACTGTGCAAAGCTTTTTCCTTGTGCAAGGGTGGCAGTCGTGTGTTGTCCCAGGGGACTGGGTAGACTCTAGTCGTTCCTTAATCATTTGTTAACTGATCATCCCACAGCTTAGCGTCATTATTTAGAGTTACAGGACACAATACACAGCATTTGATTCTGGTTTTTAATGTTCCCTTGGACTTTAATTTGGCAAGAGGCCCAGAAAGCAATCTTTAGAAATAATGGTGAAGGCTGATTGCCTTTATGGCTTTCTTGATGCCTTTTTGGCACCGAGCCTGGAGACCACAGGGCACAGTGCTTTCTGCTCCAGGCTGTGTGCAAAGCATGGAAAGCCAACTGCTCTATACATGGCTTCCAGGATGGACCATTGGGTAAACGGAGAGGTTGAAGCTCGGCTATAGAATCATAGAATGGTTTGGGTTGAAAAGGACCTTAAGATCATCCAGTTCCAACCCCCTGCCATGGGCAGGGACACCTCACACTAGACCATGCCACCCAAGGCTCTGTCCAACCCGGCCTTGAACGCTGCCAGAGGTGGAGCATTCACTATTCGTTGGGCAACCTGTGCCGGTGCCTCACCACCCTCCCAGTGAAGAACTTCTTTATCTCTAACCTGAACTTCCCCTGTTTCAGTTTAAACCCATAAAGTTAAGACATCACGATACTTTCCCCAATATATTCTCTTCAACCTCAACTTCATTTGAAGAGCATGGTTTAATTGAACTGTAGTTATGTGGCTTCCTTTATTTTTGTTTTAAACTGTGGCTTATTTTTAAGAGCAGGGCATGCCAAAAAGTGGTATTCCAGCTTAGTTGGAATTAGTGTCACCTTCCTAGGATGAAAAAGAGATAGGTAGTCAGAATTTGCCAGCACAAAAGAAGCTTTGGTGGTGTACAGCATGGGTAGACTTGCTCCTTGAAAGCATACTGTATTAGAGAAGTGTTTCAAGCTATGTAAGTTAAATTGGCCTCTCTAATGAACTGAGGTGTGTTGAGAAAGAACAGGAGTGGGGATGTAGCTTTATCTTTGTAAGGGTTTTGCTAGCACAGCTGTGCTCCTCTGAAGGGTGTGTTTAATTCTCAACTGACATGATGTTAAGTACTACTTTTAAGTGCTTTTTAGAGTGTCCCCTCCATTCAAATGTGCCTGCACATACGATTATTCAGGAATAGCTTCAAGTCTGGGCCAATATTAGTATGAATTAAAGTGTATAGAGGCCATGAGTTAACTGGTAAAAGGGCAAAGAAAATCAAACAAGCTATTGGAGCAATTTTTCCCGTATAATTGAATCGGTTAAATTGCTGTAGGGCACATGGGTATAACCTCCCTAAGCATCTGAGAGCTCTTGGGCTTTCTCATGCAGTGAGCTACTGCCAGGCTTTCTATAAATCTCTTCTTTAAGGAATATTCCCATATTTAACTGACTGTGTGATCCAGTCCACTTAAAATTGTTCTTTTAAAACTGTTAGTCAAGTATTTCTGATATTGTGGCCTATTTGAAGCAGATTGACAACTCAGTGAAAAGTCTCTGTGTTTTTAAAGCCCAGGTACTCTTACAGCAGTACTCCATACGTCCATGAGAGCAATACTTTGGTAAGCAGGAAGGTTCCAGTGGCTTTACAGCATTTATTTGAAGCCACCATGAGGCACAGTGTGATTCAGTGGGTGAACATTGGTTCCTTCATCCACTGCTACATGTGAATGTCGAAGGGGTTGATGTTTCATATGAGCAATATATCTTGTCCTAAAAATTGGCTGATTTTTGTCTTTTGCTGTTTCCATTTAGAGGACATTTTAGATGAAGCAACAAGGAGAGACCTTTTCACCGACACTTACTGTAAGGTTTGCAGGGCAGGGCTGCAGTTTGAGTCTGAAAGGATATCACACTACAAGGTAGGCTGGGTAGGATTTCTCCTAGCACTGGGGCTTTGGTTTGTTTGGGGTTTCTGTGTAGTGTTACAGAAGTCTTTTTATAGTGTGTTTTCCAAGGCTTATGCTTGGCTTTAGACATTAACCAGACTTGAATGTTGTGCAGATTGTGGGTTCAGTGATAGTGAAGGGCAATCAGCTGCATATTGTAGCATGACTTCAGAAGGAAGTGAGCAAATTTAGGCCATGCTGTATATGGAATTGAAGCAGTTCTGTACCACATGACGCAGGACGCATGTACAGTACAGGGCAGTGCTATGGAGGACCAAGGTCATGCTCCTGTCTTTTCACCCAACAGTACATGTGCTGCTCTGTACACCATTAAGCAGCAATTGTGCTGTTAGGACTTGGCAGGGTTCAGACCCTCAGTTTGATGCTCTGTTTCTTGGATCTAAATCCAGCTGAGGATGATGGATGCAATTGTAAACTTACCTGATTCACCATTATAGATCAAAGTGATGCAAATAAGTAACTTTTTCTTTTCCTCGCTTGTATTAACTAGCCAGGCATGATAGGACCCCTTCCTGTTTGATAATATTGTTATAATGTCTTGCACTACTCCTCAGAATCCTTAAAAGACATCTGAAAAGCATCACATCAGAGAAGGCAATTCTTTTGCTTTGTAGGTTCCCACTGTATAGGTTATCATGAGGGTGTGTTACAAGTGAGAGAGCATCTAAGAATTAAAAAGTAATTGCCTCTGAGGGAAGTATACATTAACACCCAATGTTAGTTACCTGGACTGTTGTATCCTCAGTAGAATGGTGCAGGAATCTCTGCAGGCTGACTCCAAGCTGGAGATAACTTTAACTCAGCTTTCCAGGGAAACTTGTTTCTCTCCACTGACTCTCTGGGGAGGCTAGACTTCTCAGGTAAGTCATTGCCTGTCATTCTTCTGTGTCAGGACAGGGGACAGCCTTGATATCAAGCCCCCAGGCTCAGTGGTAAAGCAGCACAGTAGACTGGCTTTGTGGCATGGCGGCGTTCCTTTCCTATTTTAGCATCCCTATTTGTAAGGGGACATGTCAGCATTTTTGATTCCCCAAAGAGTTGAATGTAAATGACTCCAAAGGCTGCTGAGGCAAAATGCTCTGAGTAAACCTAAGTACTACATTATTGATTAAAGTATAGTATTGTGCCATGAACTGGGATTTGTCCACTTGTGGCTCTGCTTTATACAAACGCAGTTTGGCAAATGTTGAAAGTAGGTTTTGATGACTAGAGTCCCCGTCACTGGATATATCACTTGTGTGGATCCTTATTACTGAAACAGGAGTAATTCTTCTCTTCCCAGGGCAAAAAACATGCTCAGAAAGTTCATATTTACATCCAAATGCATGGAGATAAGAGACAGAAGAAAACAGATGGTGTTGATTTTCAGGTGACTGTTCCTCTTCATTGCTAAATAAAGCTTTTCCTTGTATACTTCAGTGAATGCTTCTAACTGAGCTTGCCCTTGTCTGCTTTCAGATGGATGAGGGTGAGGCAGTGAGCAAATACAAGTACTGCAGTCTCTGCAACGTGTTGTTTACTTCCCCAGTCGATGCTTTGTCTCACTACTTGGGAAAGACCCATGCTAAAAACGTGAAGCAGTTCTCCAAGGAAGCCCACATGCCAGCACAGGACATGCAGATTGGTCCTGGTAAGGAATAAAGAGTTTGCTTTGCATGTGTTTTCCTGTCACTCTCTGAAACAAATACAGAGAAGTATCTTCCTACACTTGCCATGTCTCTATGCTTTTCAATGCTGCCAAAGTTGTGGAGCTGTCTTGCAGTAACTACATAGGTGAATAAACAGTGATGTTCCCCTGCACAGCTCTGAAGCCATGGAACCTTGCTTTCAAATTCCCTTTCATTGACTGAAACGAAAGGCAAATATTACTCATTTTTTATTAATGAAAGGTGATCATTGTTCTGAGAATTCACTGCAGTGCCAACAAGTTGTTCCACTCATAATGAATATGATAAAAAATTAAAACAACAGTCCATGAGCAACACTGAACCGGTGTTAGTCTTGTAAAAGTTGCTGAACTGTAAGGGTGAAGCATAGTTTATATGCTCTGAATCACCCTCTGCAAGGGTTCATCTCTTGGACTGTATAAGGACCTTAGAGTGACCAGTCATCAAACACAGCTGATTTTCAAGTATCTAATGGTGGGGATTCTGAATATTCCAGGGTTATATTCCTTATCTGTCTGTACATTCATATCAAGAACTGAGATACTTTATAGTCTATTAAAAGTAGTTCAGCACCCAGCAGATTGCTCTGTAGTCTATTTTGTTCCTTGGAATTGTTTTAGCCTTCCCTGTGCTGTCTCTGCTTCCATGTCTCCAGCTTTACAACAGCCACTGGGTGAGAAGCCCTTGCAGCCTTCAGGAGCTGAAGAGTCTTCATCATCCTCCAACACAGGATTGATGTCCAGTGATCCAAACAGGTTTTGCAGGCTCTGCTGTGCTTCCTTTAATAAACCAGTTATAGCCCAGCAGCATTACAGTGGTAAGAAACACAGAAGAAATGAAGCACGTAAAAAGCTAATGGAGGAGCTGGGAGACAAAGCTGTCCCTGCAGAATCCAGCACAAGTGGTAAGCAGAATGTGAACAAGTGTTGCAGTCTCTGAGTGTAGCTTGGGTTCTCACTTCTGATTTGTGCAAGGAACTACTCTGATGTGTGCAAGGAAATTATAGGCTTCTCCTATGCTAGAGAAAAAGTTCATTTTTTCCTTTCTGTTTGGTCTGTGAGCTGTTAAAGTTCTCTGTAATCAAATTCAGAGGGTTACAGACAATACCCCAGTCCCCTAAATCCAAGGTCAGGATCAGTTTTGCCTGTGTCATTCTTAAGATGTTCATCCACCTTGTTCTTAAAAACCATTTATGCTGAAAACTACACAGCCTCCATAAGGAACGTGTCCCAGGTCTTCTTCTCGATGTTAAAACTTCCTACTGACATTGAACTCAGCTTTCTCTGACCACAGTGTATTTCTTCACTATGCACAGAACAAGAAGCAGGCACAAGAATTGAATCATTTGTTTCTTTTTTTGTCTCATTCTTTAAATAATTGAAAACTGGTGTCATGTCTTCCCTTAATCTTTTATTCATGGAACTGCTTGTCAGATGTATTTCTGTCTTCACACATAAGGAAATCTATTTCCTAAACATTTATTGTTCCCCAGCCTCCCATTAGGACTGCCTGCAGCTCAAGAACTGTGTCCAAAGCCAGGGCCCTGTTGCTGTCCATTACTTCTGAGAGGGCATCATCTGGTCCTGTGCAACAGAACTGTCAATGCTTTCTTTAGTAAGGAATTAAAATGCCTACCTGATAGTCAAAAGTCATTGTTAACAGTTCTCATTAAGTCATGCTATAATTTGAATAATATACTTTGATGTAAAGCAATATCCTGATGGAATTAATGCTGCTAATGGATGAAGCTCTTGGGTTTGCATGGGGAAAAGGGTTGCTCTCTGATTTCAGAATACATAGGTCTATGGATGGCAAAGCCTGTAGGAGAAAATGATAACCTAGAAAGCACAAGGTGTTTCCTCGTCTGATCTTATATTTGCCTGAGGCTCCATGTACCATATTCATACTGTACTGTACGGACAATTCCCTCTTCTCAGGTTTGAACCAAAGCTGCATGAACATTTGAACAGGTAGTGTTTAAACTGATCTCATTTTAGTTAATTCTGGACTGACTGGGCTGGTATCTGTTGGTACTTGCTTTGGGTCAGGTATATACAATAGTATTGAATTTTTCAGTACAGTTCGTTCTCATCAGCATTTGACAACAGTTAATGGCATTATGTTGGATCACTTCAGTCATCAAAAATATAATCTTTGGTAGTGTTTAAACCATGGTTACATTGCAGCTGGACACCTTACCAGCTCCCTTCAGAAGTATTATTCTAGTGTAAAACTGCAGCAGAGACTCTTATCTGTCCATAAACACTGTTTATGTCATCATGTTAGGACTCTTGCATGGGATGGGATTGTGATGTGCTTTGGATTTTGCTTTTCAGTTGCAGTCTCTCAAACTTACATTTTCCTTCTTTGCAGCAATTGGAGTTGGTTATTACATTTGCCCTGTATGTGATGTCACACTTACATCTATAGAAACATGGCAGTCCCACCTGCAAGGAAAGAAGCACAGGATTAAGTAAGTCAGTCAAACTATACTAGAAGTTTTTAGTTTCAAACTTTTTCCACTAGTCCTGTTGTTTGCTGTTAAGTGACTTTGATTAGCCTGGGGGGGTTTTGTTGCTTTTGGGATTGGTCAGTTTACTGGTTTTAAGGTGCACTGTCCATTTAAGCATCATACTTGTGACTGAAATTCAGTGTTAAGAGTTCTCACAGTTACATCTTCAGTGACAACCCACAGGAAAAGTCCTGAAACCTGTACAGTTTCCCCACTTGTTTTGCTGTCTGGGGATAGCAGCACCTATTTTGGTACAGCATCTTCAGTGCTCAGTCTAAAACGAAATGATCTGATCTTAAAGATTCCTATTGGCAGGGCAAAGAAGACCATAATCCTGAAAAGCACCAAGTCTCCATCAGTTGTGTTGTTTTCAGAATTCATCAACACGTGTCTTACATTTGGCATAAGATAATTTATGGGATAGATTATAGCTCTTGTGTTTTCCCTTTTACCCAGAAGAGGGCTTGTAGACTGTTAATTGCAGAATGGATGTTGTGGTGAATTAAGAGCTGTGTTTGTAGGCTAAATATCAAAACTACTTATAAGATAAATGTTTTGGTAAGACATGTTTTAAGTGAAGGCACAATAATAATATAATCACAAGACACTGATATAGAAGTGATATTACTTCAAACATTTGCTTAGTGAACAGGATTAGAGTCTCCAAAGACAGGAGTATAGGAAACTGCTACAGGGCTACAGTTTAACAAAATGAATGTATAAAGCTGGTGAATTAAGGCAGAACAAGATACATTTAAGGTATGGGTCTTTGGAGCTGCCCTTCAGGGAGTATCTTTGTCATCTAACACTTTATCTTCCAGCCTGAGGAAAGAGAGGATAGAATATAAACTGACAAGTAGTTTTGCCTTTGGGACCACATTTACCTTGTTAGGGTTTTAGCCATCTGGGTTGGTTGTTTCTGTGGAGTCACACAGCTTGCCTGTGTCCTGCAATAGTTCAATAGAATGGATCTCATAAAGAAATGAGTAACTTCATTACTTGACGGTATTTAATGTAATTGCTTCTTATCTGCAGCTAACTGGAGATTAGTTCATAAGAGAGAATATTAAATTTGGGCGTTTAGGGGTACTTTTAAAATGTATGCAGTCGTTTGAAAAGCAGCTTATTCCTGCAGCATCTCAGCTCACAAGAAACTCATTTGATGTGCAGGAAGTTATTCTGGATCTTTAGTTTTCACAAAGAGTAGAATTTGTACCCTGGAACTTCAGCTTTACAGATACAATTGAGTGTAACAGGGTCCACACTTGGAGTATGTTCTTTTTCTATCTCTGGAAATGTGACCTGTTTATTTTAACTCAACAGATGCCAGTGAAATCAGTCAGTATTAATAACTAAGACTTTCTGTCCAGTTTACGCAGAGAAACAAAGCTGGCTAATGTCATGAAGAAACCAAACAAAACCCCTGACTCCTTGCAAGATGAATTAATGGATTGCATTGAAGTTCAGGAGGCTAAAGGGCAAGAGCCAAGGGAGTGTTTAGTGAAAGTAGAAGAGGAATGGATTCAAGATACAAACATTGAAGATGAAGGTGACCTTGGTGAGGTTGTATCTTCAAACTCTGTGTGTCAACAAGGACATTCCAGCCTTATCTCAAACACCGAGTCACCTGCAAATACTGGGGAAAAGAGATCACTAAGTTGGCCATCAGCATGTGAGCACACACTAGAAATGACACCTAATTGTTGCTATAACAAGGGATACTGTAAAGAAGAGCAATCTGAGGTAGCCATCATCAGTGATAAGAGCTTCAGCCTGTTGGCTGCAGAGCGTATAGACTGCTACAGTCTTACAGTTCCTGAAACTTCTACCAATTCCTACAGGAAAGAACAGAAATCTCAGATAAAATGTTTCAAGGAGGAGGAAGAATCCATCAATGAAGAGGTGAAGTATGAGAAAGAAGCCCCAAAGTGGAAAAGAAAGAAAAGTAGTGAAGGTGCAGATGTTGGAAAAGAAAAGGAGAAGTTGAATGAGAAACAAAAGAAAATAAAAGTTGAGATGGGCTTGGTGAGTAAGAAGAAATCAAGACCTGATAAAGACAAGATACTTAAAGAGAGCCCTGCTGAAGAAAACAGTAAAAATCCCAAGGAGGATAAAGAGAAGACCCAAAGAGGGGGCAAAAGAGAAGAGGAGCTACTTTGGGTTGAATCTTTGGGATATTGATAAAGGTTTTAAGAAGTTGATTCTGTTTGTATGCTCACTTACCCATTTGATACCATAATATCACTTTTGGGGGTTTTAAAACAAAAGGTTTTGTTCCGATCTGGGGGTGAGAACAATCCTGTCTTCTGAAATGTTGTGGCAGTAGTTAGGAGTCAGTTTTAATCTTACACATACGGTAGCCATTGCAGTTATGTGAGTTTAAAAGCTTGTAATCTCTCCTGGAATATACCACAAATACGGGGCAGTAGTTTAAAGAATACTGTTGGAATTTCACCAGATACAGGTTATTTGTGCTGTTAATGGTACCTACTGTTGAGGTGTCTGTTATTGTTCACTACAGTGTTTCCAGCCATGTCTGTCACCATTTCTGTGCCAGGAGAATGTGAAAGGCTTTTGGTTCCAGATCTTACTTGCTGTTGGGTCTTTGGGGTGTTGGTATTGTTTTGGCTTGTTTGTCACCCAGTTGTGAATGGAAAATGAGCCCATTAAACATGCAAATGGTTCTCAGATGTACATCGTCTAGTAGGTTTTTTTCGTTGTATTGTTCATTTTTAGTTTAATTTAGGAAACACAGAAAAGGTGCAAACATGAGGCCAGTGAAGACAGGCTAAGAAAGTTGGGGCTGTTCAGCCTGGAGAAGAGAAGCTGCATGGAGGCCTCATAGCAGCTTCCAGTGTGTGAAGGGGGCCTACAAGGATGCTGGACAGGGACTCTTCCTTAGGGACTGTAGCAATAAGACAAGGGGTGATGGGTTCAAACTTAAACAGGAGAAGTTTAGGTTAGATATGAAGAAGTTCTTCACTGTGAGGGTGGTGAGGCACTGGAATGGGGTTGCCCAACAAATAGTGAATGCTCCATCCCCGGCAGTGTTCAAGGCCAGGCTGGACAAAGCCTTGGGTGACATGGTCTACTGGGAGGTGTCCCTGCCCATGAAAGGGGATTGGAACTGGATGATCTTAAGGTCATTTCCAACCCAATCCATTCTATGATTTTATGTTTCTATGATTCTACGAGGCTGTGTTCTGCTTCATGCACTCAAAGTGATGTACAGAAGGAATGGAACATTTGTGACCCAAGGTTTGTGATCCAAACCATATCCTGAAAAATCTGTAACGGCTTTGTATTCCCATTTTAAATGTCATGACACTACACTTCCATTCATGGATATATGCCATTGTGGCATAAGCACTGATGTCCTACATATATGTATGTAGGACATATGATGGTGTTTAAGCTCTTGTGTTGCTCCCAGGACTCTCAGATGAGACCTTCAGTAAGCCATGGACACTGGAAATGCAGCAGTGTCTACAGAGCCAGGGACAGGCAGGATGCCCAAGAGAAAGAGGGGGGTTGCATGATCTCTTTGCACTGTTGAGCTGGGATTGCATAGACGATTTGAAGCCTGTGTGATGTCTTACTGAAAGCTGCTGGACTGAGTAAATACAGTTAAGTTCTGACAAGTGATCATTTAAAAGCAGTTTCATAAGACACCATTTAACATCTCTCTTACTGCCTGCAGGTTCCAAGGAAGGTTTTCTAAGCCTTGATGTGGGATCTCAAAGCCATCATGCTCTTAGTTTGCACTGCTCAGGCTGCACTTTCCCCTGGGTTAGTCTGTTTGTAGAGGCACCTGTGCTGAGCTGCTGCTCACAGTAACGCTGCCCAACTGAAACTTTCTGTTGTGGGTTGTGGTGTGGGATGGAGCAGAGACCAGGGCCCTCAAGCCTGTCTGATTTGTCTTAGTTTTGGTTTTGTAAGTATAAGAAGTCGGCTGAAAAGCATTGAAAACAATGTAGTCTGCTTCATTTTTTTCAGGATTTGTGTTTTTGTGGTTGATTGCAATCTTGGATTTAGATTTTCCTGCTGCTGATAAGGTTATAAATCTCAGTAGTTGACATCTGAGCCACCAAGTAACTCAGTCCATCCTCTAACAGACAAGTTGAACTAGATACATGTACAGCTAAACACCACTTAGCAGGAACATGTAGGTGGCAATAACAGTTCATTTGTCAGGAGTCTCAGGAACCTGAACTCAGAGCTCCATGTGGATTCATCATTAAGTTTTAAGTGTGCATAGGGTCCTTTTTCTGGTCCCCTTTCCTAATCTCTCCTTGTCTTTGTTTGAGGGTGGTGATGCCTCTGCTTTCTTCAGTGCTCTTTTTCCTCACTCAGGAGTTACATGCCTTTCTGTATGTTTCCAAGGATACTTCCCATGGCTTTCCTTAGCCTTTGCTTATCTGATGAGGGAGTTTCAGGTCACACGGTAACTGCTTTTCTCATTATTTACTTGGGCAAACATCATGTATTTATGCTACTGATGACGTTTGTGAGCTGTTGTAAACTGCCAACTGCAGGCTGCCTGTATTGTCCTATGGTGTAACTGGGGAGGTTTTCAAGTGCTTTCCTGTATCTACTCTTTGCAGTGAGAATACCGTGAGCAGCACTGCAGCTTGCTCCCATGTAAGACAAATAATGACTTTCTCTGCTCTCGAAGCATCTAGTTAAAGACATTGTAAGATCTCTTTGCTATTTCTGCCACTCTGTCAAATAGGCTTGTACAAATATGGCCAGTGTCTTCATTGGTAGGGGAACCCTGCTCCATAGGGTCACATACACCTCCTTGCCTTAGGAAGTCAGTTTAAGAAAACACACCTCCAGCAGATGGAAAGGCCACAACGTGGTACCCCACTTATACACAAGGAAGGGAAGTAAGTACCAATTTACTTCCTTCTGAAGTTGCATTTTTGGAAGTCAGGAAATTAATGCCTCTGAAAACATAGTAAATTGTGAGTTGACAGAGCAAAGAGATGGTTTTGGTTTTCTCAGTGATCATTCCCAAATCTGTGCTTGAACTCCATACCTTCCTCACCCACCCACTGGAAAGTGGTTGTACAAACTAAGTTGAATAGCTCTAAACAAAGTTTCCTGGTATCAAACATGAAAGATAAGAACTCCGAAGAAGCGTTCCTGCCACATTTTGAGTAAAAAATGATTAATCTCTGATGTAAATGCTGTAAATGAGCCATACCAGGTTCTCATCTAGCAGAAGTGAGTTACAGCTCTCATTTAGATAAATGATAGCCAATTTTCTAAGGCCATAAATAGCAATTATTGTTCCTGTGTTTCCTGATTACCTTGTTCCAAACCTTTCACATCTGTACCAATAGTCATCTACATGCTACGCATTTTACAATGCTAGGCACAGACATTAATGATGTTACTTACCCTTTAGCGTAAATGTATCTTTTTCCATTCCTCACTAGCAAAGGGATCCACACTGACTGTAATAAAGCTAATTCTGCTCATCTGTTCCTCCCAGTAAAACTGCCAAAGCATTACAATTCTGACTGGGGAAACAAATTCAGCCACAGATCTTTCTGAGCAGAAAGACTTGCAGATCTGCCTGGAGTCAATGGGGTTCTATGCAGGTATAAAGATTCCTCTGTGAAACGCTAAATGTGATGTGTCTCCTCTTCCAGTAAACCTGTGTGCTGCTTGGCTTTATGAAAGAACAGCTGTATATGACAAAGGCAAGTTAAAGCTGTGTACATGCAGCAGGGCACAAAACCAAGGTTAAAACTGCTGTTAAAGGTTTGATTGCGGCTAAACTGCTGTTACAACTGCTGAGCTTAAATGAAGGCTTCTGCATTTCAAGTTTGTCTGTCCCTGCTTCACCAGGTCACCTGGATCAGGTACTTCATTCTTCTAATGCCTCTTTTTTATCTGTAAATGGTGCAAAAGGTGACTCTGGAGATTTGCCCTGCCCATGCTGTGCCCCTGAATCACGGAATCATAGAACTGAAGCTGACTTCTGCTACCAGTTTCCCCCTTGTCCTGTCACTACCATCCCTGATGAAGAGTCGTTTCCCCCCCCCCCTCCAGCATCCTTGTAGCCCCCTTCAGATACTGGAAGGCTGCTATGAGGTCTCCACACAGCCTTCTCTTCTCCAGGCTGAACAGCCCCAACTTCCTCAGCCTGTCTTCATACGGGAGGTGCTCCAGTCCCCTGATCATCCTCGTGGCCTCCTCTGGACTTGTTCCAACAGTTCCATGTCCTTTTTATGCTGAGGACACCGGAACTGTACACAGTGCTCCAAGTGAGGTCTCACGAGAGCAGAGTAGAGGGGCAGGATCACCTCCTTTGACCTGCTGGTCATGCTCCTTCTGATGCATCTCCTTCTCGTGTCTACCCTGGTAACTTGTCCAAGCCTATTTCTGTAGAGACCAAGAGGCTGAAATCAGTGAAAATCACCTGAGTGCAATGCCTTGAGCTGCATCTCAAATTTGCCACATACCTGTGGAATCAGAGCTCAGTGTAAAGCAGTTGTTTGAAGTAGTTGTTATTACAGTTTAATTAAATCAAGGTATTTCAGCTCTTGGCCAGCACTGCCATCCAACACGGAAGCTGACAGGGTGCTTAATGGTTGTATTTAATAACCAGAACACCAAGATGAAAGCACCAGGGTGAGGACTGGGAGGTTTGGATTCTCTTTCCAGCCTTTCCACCAGCTTCTCTGGTGATTCACATCTTGCCAGGAACATGGTGGTGCAGCTGAGCTCTTCCATCTCATCTGCAGCTTTTTAACCTTCACATGTTATAGCTGCTGGCCCTTCACATATGCTGGTGGAAATGAGCTGAGGGAGGAGGTTACAGCCTTGTCAGATGTGCTGGTGGCTTTCCATCTGTATCTGTTTCCTATCCTGGTCACAAAAAACTAATAAATAGGAAACCATAAATAAGTACAGAGCCATAAATCTGTGGGAAAGCTTTGGGAAAAGACCAGCAGTGATCCTCATCCCCAGATAAGTTCATGTCCTTTATTTCAAAAAGCTTAATTTACAGTTGAGAGCAATGAAGTGCTATTTCAGCCAGTTATTTCTGGCAAAGGGTTAGGCATTGATCCCTATTAACTTTAAGGAACCTCTGATTTGATTTCAGAGTGCTGCAGCACACTGCCTGCTTGGCTCTGCTCCTGGCAATCGCTCCTGCTTGGAATGGAAGAATTTGGCATAAATCCCGATTTCCACAAGTGACTGACACCTCCAGGAGTCCTGAGTGCCTGCAGAAGCCTGCATTGCATAACATGGTGAGGACCACTTGTCTCACAGTCGAGCTTCATCATAGGATTGATGCTCAACAAACACCAGGCAAAATCACAGACCCTCAGCTCCCAGAGCTTTTCCTCTTGCACTGACAGCTCAGGTCCTTGCTGTTTCTGTACTTGAGGTATGAGAATCTTAAATAAACCCAGATTCTCAGCAGGGGGAATGTGGAATAAATGGGACATTGTATTTTGGGGGGTTTTCTCCAAAGGCTATGGGGAAAAGTGGAAATCTGTGTGGGATGGAGGGGAGATTTGAAAGAAACCTTTAAAATGAAATAGGATTTCCTACAACTCACAATGAAACTTTTCACAGCAGTGTCCTGAGCACTCACCTAACAAACAGCTGAAATAAAGCTGTTTTCCCCAAAGCTAAGTGCTTCCAAACCATCTGCTTTATAAATTCAGCTCCACAGGCTGAATCACAGTTACTGATACCACTGTGCTGTGTGAGAAGCATACTGGCTGTGATACCTCTTGCTCATAGCTAAACTTCTTCCCTCTAAATGTTTCTTTTGGAATTGCATTATATCAGTCTCTACTGATGCTATTTCTGAGCCACAGTAGCAAAACCTTCCCTGTTGTAGTCAGCAGAAATGATGATTTCTATTTCTCTTCACTCCCTCGCATCAGTGATACGTCAGCAGTACATAACACATCAATGTACCATGGTGTATATGTACAGATCCTTCTCAGAGTGTTAATCAGAAATCTGAAGTCTGTATTTCTATATTTATTTCAGTTCATGTGTAACTGAAGTCTGTGCCTCAAGAGCACTATGGGAGAAGCTGTGTGAGTTCTTTGCACCAGCTCAGTTCTTCCCTACCTGCCTTCAGCCTTTCTGAATCCATCTCTCGTGCTTAAAAATAGATCACTCTGCTTTGCTCAGCTTCACCCCACTAATGCTTCCTGGCTTGCTTTGCACTCCCATGTTGCTGCAACATGAAGCAGCTGGTTGTGACTCTGGCTGTGAGTCACCCAGGGGAGGTGGTGTGTGACCACTGAGATGTGAGACCTCCCAGCAGCATGCAAGGGTTGGCTCTTTTGACCATTTCACAGAGGAAAGGAGATGCTTTGATACTGTAGCTTTAAGCAAGTGCAGATTAAGGCACCGTTCAGGATGCACTCAGCTCAGGTGGGTTTCCCTTCAGCAGCAACATCTGTGCATGCACTGAGGTTCCTTAGAAGTACCCTCAAAATGAGAGGATTGTATGGAAGGAGCTTTGTGGCATCTCTCCTATGGAGCCAGGCTGAGAGAGCTGGGCTGGTTCAGCCTCGAGAAGAGAAGGCTCCTGAAGGGGAGACCTCAGAGCAGCTCCAGTGCCTAAAGGGGCTACAGGAAGCCTGGAGAGGGGCTTTGGACAAAGGCCTGTAGGGACAGGACAAGGAGAATGGCTTTAACCTGCCAGAAGGGAGACTGAGATGAGCTCTTAGGCAGAAGCTCTTCCCTGTGAGGGTGCTGAGGCGCTGGCACAGGGTGCCCAGAGAAGCTGTGGCTGCCCCATCCCTGGCAGTGTTCAAGGGCAGGTTGGACACAGGGGCTTGGAGCAAGCTGCTCTAGTGGAAGGTGTCCCTGCCCGTGGCAGGGGATTGTAACTGGATGAGTTTTGACGTCCCTTCCAACCCAAACCATTCCATGATGATTCTATGATTAAAGGAAACCCCTCTCAAATCTGACAGAGAAGCTGATGCCGCTCAGCTCCTGCCTTCTGGTGTGTTTACGTCTCATGTTTTATTCTTCTTTTTTCTAGCTCAGCAAACGAAGCAATGAGCCCGCACACAGCACCCATGCTCACTTAGCAGTGCTGCTGTGCTGAACCTGGTGCTGCGCCTGCGGTCAGGGTGTTTTGTCACCCAGCCCGAGCAGAGCCGGTGCTGCCTGTGGTGCAGCTGTGAACAGGGGTCTCACTGTGCACCGGTGCACAGCCTGCCTTTCATCTTTCCACACCATGCTCAAAGCAGCAAGAAGCACCAGTTGGTGGGGAAAAAGAGGTTGAGACAACGCCCCTAAGCTGGTGTTATAAAATCATAGAATCCCAAGCTGGTTTGGGTTGGAAGGGACCTTAAAGCTCATCCAGTTCCAACCCCTGCCATGGGCAGGGACAACTTTCACTAGAGCAGCTTTCTCCAAGCCCCTGTTTCCAACCTGGCCTTGAACACTGCCAGGGATGGGGCAGCCACAGCTTCTCTGGGCACCCTGTGCCAGCGCCTCAGCACCCTCATATTGAGGTTTTTCTCCTTATCTTCTAACCTGCACTATTCCAAGTAACTTTATGTCCCTTTCCAGGTACCTGTGACTCTCACCCACTGGTAAAACTGCTGAGAGCAGCTGAAGGAATAAGGGTATTTGCCCTATGCTATGGAAGGCCTAATACTTAATCACAGTCTTGTGTTAGCTTTGCCAAACCTCAGGCTAACGATGAATCTCTCTCGAAACTGGAAATTGTTTCTAATGTGTTTCATTTTTCAAGAAGTAAGTGAACACATGAGAATTCCCTGCATTTCCCTCTGTGGGATGTAACATCAGGCATTCCATCACTCCTAGGAGTAAATGAGCTCCCTACTGAGTTATTCATGAGCAATTCTCAGCCAGGCTGATGTATATCTGATCCCTTCCTGAGGAATAAATCAAGCATCTCCCTTCATGCTGAGTGCTGGCACATCACTGAATTCTCTGGGACTCTACATAGCAGAAAAGAATCAACCCAAGCCTGAATCTGTCCCACATCTCCAGTGAGGTTGGTTTAGCTCTCAAACCAGCTTTCTCATTCTGCCTCTGAGCTCTGATGCTCTTCTATATTCTGCCTCCTAAAACTCATTTTTCTATCCTGCCCATACATAATAAATCATGATCAGGCAGGATATAGCACACTGCACTACATCTCTGTCTGATTGTATCACTCCATCCCCAGGGCTTTCGTGCTCTTCCCTTCTCATTGCTCTGCTATATGGGTTGTGTCTACAGCAGCTTTACAGATTGTAAATATTGGGGCTAATATCCAGCTTCTCTGTGAATCACTTTGTGTGCTCTGGGGTGAGTAAAACACCTGGGGAGCAGAAAGAACAGCTTCTACTAATGGGACTGGTAGGAGTAAGATACATGTTCTCAACCTAAAAGCACCTTACCTTTAGGCTGAGGGATCACAACTGGAGCTCTGCAGCAGTGGTGCATCGAGATTGATCCCTCCAGGGTATCAGTCCTCCTGCTATTACTTTCGCTTTTATAGGGTGCCTTTGGTGAACTTACAAGATGCACGAGTTTAAAGGACATCAGCATGGAGAGTTTCTAAACCAGGTTAATCCCCTCTCTGTGAATGTGCAGGTACCTTGTAGGTGCTGGGTGAAGGAAGAGCTTTGAAACATGCTGCTCAAAGCTGGGAGGCCTGGAAGGATGATCTGGAGTGACAGTCATGCTCAATTAGCAAGAAAACTGGTGTTAAGGAAGATGGGAAGCACTTCCCTAACAATGGAGGAAAGGGATAGAGGTAGGAAAGAGGGAAGAGAAGGCAAAAGAGGACAAAAAAGAGCCATGTCCAAACATTGAGTCTGAAAGGGCCTGTTCATGCTGGAGTGTGACATGGGTCAAAATAATGATGATGCATTGGGAGAGTCAGGAATCAGCCAGCCTGGCCTGTATGAAATGAGCCTTGACAGGCTTCAGGGCTTTAAAGGCAGAACCCCCCAAAATTCCAAGCTCTTTTGAATGTTTCCATGAAAACACAAGGCTGTTAACCTGTCTGGGCTGGGAAATCAAAGTCTGAGCTTTTTCTGAGCAACACTATCTAGTACAAGCCTAGCCCATGTCAGAGGGCTGGAACCGGATGATCTTAAGGTCCTTTTCAACCCAAACCATTCTATGATTCTATAAAACCAGGCTCACATTCCTTCTGCATTTGATTGGAGACAATGTAGGTTGTATAGGTGGCTGTAGCATCATCCTGAGGACAATCCCTGCTGTGTCACACTGTCCCGCTGCAAGTTTGCGATGGAAGAGTGGGTAATGCGAATTAGCTGTGATTCCTTTTTCCCCACAGGCTTCCAAAACAGGTTAGAGGGGTAAAGGCTTTGTATAAATGGGTGATTATTCACAAGGAAAGGGATTCTCATGAAACATGTAAGGTGTTAGTGAGTAAGAAAGGTGCTTTAACCAGAAGGTGTTTTCTGTGAGGCTTTGTGATGGGTGAAATGAAGGGAGCAGCAGAGCGTAAAGACCAGGTCCCAGCCCTTTCCAGGGGGGTGGGAGGGTTGGGGGGAGAGTTCAGCCTCCATCCCAGGGGTGAAGGGGGTGTTTTCGTGGTGCTTGGAGAGGGGAAAAAGATTTCTGTGGGTTTAGACAGTGATTTATTTATTCACATGCTCCTAAGCTCAGTAATAAAGTGTTTGTTAAAGAGAAGTGTCTTTATCAAACCCATATATTGAAGTTTTCTTTAAAATCAAGTATGCCTTAGCAGTATGCTGTTTCTTTGTGCTTCCCAGCCCAGCGATTGTGAAAAGTGAGGTTTTAAACCCATTTCTCAAGCTAGCCCAGAAGTTCCTGCTGGGTTTAAGCCCAGTTCTTTAATGTTCTTATTTCAGCCTGGATTGCAAAGGACTTTTTGCCTGTGTAAAGCCCCCATTCTCAGAGAGAGCAGCACCTTGAGATCAGTCCCATGAGGTGCTTAATCGAGTTTTTGCAATTCTTAATGTTTTTAAGTTGTTTGAGAACCCCTTTGTATATTTTATGGCTCCTTCTGGATTTAGTGGCAGGGAGTGATCCAGGTCGGAAAAGGCAGAATGAAGGAGGGGAGTGGGTTTGTGCACACTCTTCAGCCCAAGGCAGGAATCTTTTTGTTTCAGTGAATATTCTGCAGGCAATAAGCAAGTGAGGGCCTAAAAAGGGGGGAAAAAATACCCAAAACCACATCTTTTCACTAGAATTTCTCTACCAGTGTAGCCAAGGGTATGAGCCAGGGTAGACGGCGATTGAACAGGCAGCAAGATAGACACTAACAGATAGACTTTATTGAGTGCGTGCACAACTAAGCAAAGCAAAACAAAGCAGTGATGTCCAGGCTCCAAAAACAAGATCTCACCAATGCACTGGCCAGGTGCACTGGGAGTCTTGGGAACCTGGAGATAGATGCTGCAAAGGTCCATGTGGATTCAGCTCCTTTAAGTCCAAGGTGATTACATTCTGCTCATCTTTTATCATCTTTCCAAGTCTTTGAGGCTGGTAACACCACTGCCATCTTCAGTGAGTGGTTTCCAGGCTCTAGCATGATGTTCCCTTCTCTTCACTTCCAAAGACACAGTCCTTGGCTTTCCTTTTCTCCTTTTCTGCTTAAGGAGTCTTATATCACACAAGAGCAGCATCTTGACATTAGCATGTGAGGATGGGAGGTTCAAACACAATAGTTACTTATTACTATTATTACTTATAATAGTTACTTATGCTAACTTTTGCTTTTTTACTGTGAGGTTGATGAAACACTGGTGCAGGTTGCCCAGAGAGGTTGTGGAGTCTCTATATGTGGAGACAGTCAAAACCCAGCTGGATACAGCCTGGGCAGTCTGGTTTAGGTGGCCCTGCTTGAGCAGAGGGATTGGACTTGATCATCTCAAGAGGTCCCCTCCAACCTCTACCATTCTGTGATTCACGCCAACCACAAGCTGCTTGGCCTGCCCTTCCCTCCTGGATGGCCCTCTTATACCAGAGGAGGCCATCCCTCACATCAAGGTCTGGCATGGCATGTGTCCCCACCGCTCAACGCCTACTGGGTTGCAGCCAACAGCGGAGCTAAAGGTTCTTCTTGGTGGCAAACACAGAGGCCAACCCAGTCTTGCCCTTGACTATGGCAGGAGGCGTTTGGCCAACCTCAGTCCTTGCACCTCTTTGTCAATGCAGAGTTTCACCTGCCTCATCCAGTAACAAGTCACTACCATGGCAAAGCACACACAGATTTGCATTAGCAGGATAACTACTACAGGGTGCAGCAGCGCATTGAAGATGCTGGTGGCAGTGGGGGACCAGCCAAAGAAAATTTCCCACCAATGATGTTCTCCCACCCTCTTTATTCGTTCCATTACCTGCTTTATAACATTACCATCGTGATGTACAGTTATTAGGATCTTTCTAGCTTCTGCCTTAGCATCTTCTAGCAGCTGCTGTAAATTTGCATGCTCTAACATCTCTTTTACAAGTGACAAATCCATACCGATAGGGGTTGGGGTTATACTACGATACAAGGTGTAGTTTCTTATTAGCAACTGGCTAGTGAATACAGGTGGCTTATACACAAAATCACAGCCTCTAATAACAGCTACATTGCAAGCACACATATTTGAGTTGTTAAACACGCTCTGGTTATAGACTTCATTGATCTGCACGTATTTACACATTGTTCTGAAGCACACGCACCCTTTCCCTACGTACACCAACACGGTCTTATTGCTGCTCTGGGGATTGATCTCAAAGTGGCACACCCCCTCTCTGGTGTCAAAGCAAACGTCACTTGCTTTAAGGGCATCATCTTCACATATGAATCCCAGCCCCCTTTCGAAAATGCAGGCTTCCAAATCTACCGACTGCCATTTCCCATCAGACACCCTCGCCCACATGCGGTGGTCCAGGGGGTAGACCACAGACCCATTTGTGTTAACCCCCAGGGCCACAACAGGGTAGACCTTTTCGATGCGAGCCTCTGTCACAGTGAGGACGTAGGTGATGACTGCATTGAGGACCTGGTCATGGGTGAAGTTGACAAGCCTCCACCAGGCTTGGAGCTTCCGCTCCTTTTCTGTGGCTGCATCCCACACGATCTTTCGGATCTCGGTGGGGAGGATACCGTTGTCCCCATCTCTCAGGATACCTGCAACGACACTCTGCACCCACATCTGGGCCTGGATGCAGCTAAGAGCAAGAGAGATGTTATTTTGTTCGATGCCCAACGCTCGCAACAGCATCTGGTGGTCTTTCTCGTTTATTTGTTCCCAGGTAGGCAGCACCTCTGACACGAGCCACTGCCCCATCCCAAGGCTGGCCAGGGATGAATTCAAGGGGTTGAGGAGCCCCTGCACGCCCGAGGTGACAGCCTCCAGCTTGTTGGTCAAAACCTCAACGTTCATAGTGTTGAGGACCCCCATCCCAGCAGCTCCTCCTCCCAGTGCTGTGGCCAGCAGGTCTCTCCTGGCCCGGGTGCCCTGGATGGAGCGGCTGTGGAGCCATGCCAGCCAGCCTGTGTGGAGCGTGGAGAGGAAGGGGGCACAGTGAGGTCTGACAGATGAAATGTTAACGGTGGACAGGGACAACACCACCTTCTTCAGTGATCGGACAGGCCCCGTCAACAGCTCTTGGATGTGATTTTGCTTGACTACGTAAGGGCCTATTTTGGAAATGAAGGGGCGTAAGACAGCAATGATGGTAAACTCCTTCTTAAATCCATCAGGACCTCCTATCCACCACTTCCCTCCAAGCTCAGAGGACATGTCTATGCTTAGGCTTCCTCGACACCATACCTGGAGGTTTATGACCAGGTGTGGACAGTTTCCATAATCCTGATTATACCATGAAGCTTCTGCACCTAATTCAGATCTATTAAGCGTTTTGGTCTCACGGAGGCATTTTACTGGCATGACCCACTCGCGGCCATGAGGGGCAGTGATGGTCATGATGGTGCCATCAGTTTGCATTGGGTCAGTTACACTTTCTTGGGAATATTCAATTTCCAATTTTACCTGGTTGCCAACTTCAGCGTATGGGGCTGCGTGCCAGGCCAAGAAATGGCACTTGGAGATCTTGACGGCAGCAAAGGAGTGTGTCGTGGTGCTAATCTGGAATTTAAAGGACAGCCCCACGCTGTTTTGTGCCCAGAGGCAGACCACAAAGACTGGCTGGACCAAAGTAAAATTGCACCAGCAGTCCCATTTTTCTGCAGCACAGCTCTTTTTCTGATTCTTCTTAGTTTTTACTTCGGTTACGGAGATCTGACTTACTCGCTGGTGAGTGGATCCATTGATAACCCTGCAGCCTACCTTTATGTGTTGTCCCACCGTCCCCAGCAGCTGTGGAAGTCTGTTTGTGCTATCCCAGCTCCATTCATTTTCCAAGTACACCTCCGACCCGTGCATCACCACCGTTGACAGATTTAAGCCTTTGTTAGAATTTAACCCCATGCTTCCTGTGTATTTTATGTGAGCTTGAGACCAGGGCCAATCAGTCTCAGTTTTTGTGTACCTCCTAACCCTGTGCTGGACCCATGTGTCGAGATGCCTTTCTAAGTGGGAACGACTGACTTTTTGCCTGGGGTGCTGATGGGTTGGTTGGGCACATTGAGTGCTCAGGGCTATGCACATACCAGAGAGCAAAGCAAATCCTGCAACCACAAATCTGAAAGCATTTTCCCCATAGCGCAAACAGGGTTGGTGACGCCACGAAGCTCGCCCTTCCCGCTGGTCACAATCGCCTTCCATTTTCCTTTATCTGCAAAACATAAACAAGACGGGCTCTCCAGCCCCGTTAGTTTCCCTTCCATGCTTTTAATTGTGAAGAATGGAACCACTTTTCCTGCCTTTTTGCCCCCTTTCTGATTTCTACCTGGTACATGGAGGGGCTGGCCTTGTTCACCACCCTAATGGGCCCCATCCACTGGGGTTCCAGCACCTGGTTCTTCTCTCTAACCTCCCGATACATTACCAGGTCCCCTGTGTTCCACTCCATGGGGCGCAGCAGCGCTCCCAGCTGCTTATCCATCTTGGGGATGTTGGTGTCCTGGCCTGGGGCAAGCTGGTGGTACATAGCCAACAGGGTCCTCAGTATGTCCTGCACCCACTTGTCCATCAGCACACGGGGCTGCACTTCATCCGGTGGCTCCCCTCTTTGCCACCAGTGTCCCAACAGCTTCGGGTCTCCTGCAGGAGGTAGCTTCTGGGGAGAAGGTGCTTGAGATGCCATTGTCCCCCGTAAGGCCAGCAGGACCAGTGGGAGCTTCTGATCCCAGTCTTTCCTTTGGCTCACCAGCTTCCTCAGCGCTGTCTTCAGGGGCTGGTTGGGTGCTTCTGCCAAGCCAGGCTTCTGGAAATGGCCAGTGATGTGAAGCTTCTGCTTGATGCCCAGGGCCTGGCACACTCCTTTTGTGACTTCTGTGATGAAGCGCTGGCCGTGGTCCGAGTCAATCTCCTTTGGAACTCCCCAGCGTGATAAGATGTGCTCCACCAGAATATTAGCGGTTGCGCTGGGTGTGTTGTTTCGAGCTGGAAATGCTTCCACCCAGTTGGTGAAGGTATCACTGATCACTAAGCAATACCTATTGCCTTGGGCTGTTTGGGGCAAAGGACCAATAAACTCCATCTGCAACTTGCTCCACGGCCCAGAAACCCTCTGATGACCCAGGAGGGCCTTGGTCTTTTTGATGTCAGGATTGTTGGCCGCGCAAGTCAAGCAGTTGCTGACGTACCTCTCCACATCCTCTCTCATCTCAGGCCACCACCCAGCGCTCTGCAGCCTCACCATGGTCTTGTCTGTCCCCAAATGCCCTTGCTCATGAGCCAGAGCCACCAGCTCTGTCCGGACCAGCTCAGGCACCACCCAGACTGGGAAGTCTGCCCCTTCCCTTCTTGCCAGGACCAGACCAGAGACATCCTTCCACACCTTGCATCCTTTATACACCCTGCCCTGCGCTAACTCCCGGACGCTGGGGTCTTGTGCCTGCAAGCCCGGCAGGTCCACCCTCTCCCAGTGTCTGCTGGGAGCCACCAAGATGGAGGTATTCTCCATGGGCTTGCTGGTCTTCCACATCAGCCCTTCCTTTGCACCTTGCTTGGCTTTAGCATCCGCCTCCTTGTTCCACTTGGCCTCCTCTGTTCCCTTCTTGTGCCCCTTCACTTTAATGATCTGGGTTGGGTGCGCTCTCTGCTCCGCCAGCCTCGCGAGGTACAGCAGCTTTTTGGCGTAGGTGACAGGCTTGCCGTCAGCAGACTGCATGTCCCTCTCCCTCCAGAGCGGCAACCACTTGAGTGCTGCTCTCACCATCCATCCCGAGTCTGAGAACACGGCCAGGAGCTGGTCTGCTGCTGTGTTCTCAAGGGCGGCCGTCACGGCCACCAGCTCAGCAGCCTGGATGGAGTGAGGCAGGCACTTCCCCTTCACCACCTCCCCGGTACCCTGGTTGACCGCAGCGTAGCCTGTGTAGGGCACCCCTTGCTCGTAGTAGTTGGACCCATCTACGAACCACACAACATAGCCTCTGTCCTTGGCCTCCTGCAGGCTGAGGCTGCTCTCAAACAGGGGTGCCCGGTGCAGCTTGGGCTCAGGCAGGAAACCCCCTGGTTCCTCCACATCCCTCTCTCCACTGATCACCACCCTATAGGCACCGGGCGAAGGGTACCCAGGCACCCTCTTGTCGGTCAATGCCAGCGCCCAGTTGGCCATTCTGGGGCGGCACAGGGGACCCTCGTCCCCCTTCTCTGACAAGAGATACCTCACTGGGGCATGGGAGGTCCTCAGCAGCACTGGGGCCGAGCCCACCAGGTACTCCCAGTGCTGCAGAGCCCAGGTCAAGGTTAAAACCTCCCTCTCGTATTCACTGAACTGCTGTTCAGCCGGCGTCAGCAGGCGCGATGCATGGGCAACAGGGAGGAGATGGGCACCTTGCTGCTGGCCCAAGGTAGCCTGCAGCCCTCTCCCCGTGCTGGCCAGCTGTAGGACATAGGGTCTGTCCCCGTGGGGACGCACCAGCACAGGGGCTTGTGCCACGCTCTCCTTTAAGGACTTCACCGCCTCATCCTGCTCTGGCCCCCATTCCCAGGGGGTGTCCTTCTTCAGGAGGTGGCAAAGGGGGGCAGCTTTCTCTGCATAACCCTCAACAAACTCCCTGCAGAACCTTAGGAGAGCCAGGAAGGACCTCAGGGTGGTGGCATCGGCTGGCGCCGGCACCTTCTGTATTAGCTGGACCCTCTGCTTCTCCAGCGAGCGGCCTTCCTCCCCTAGGGTCACCCCCAGGTAGGAAACCTCCTTCCAGCATAGCTGGGCTTTCATGGGGCTGATCTTGAAGCCTGTCTTCTGCACAGCCTCCAGCACCTCCGCCAGCACCTCCAGGTTCTCCTCCTTTGTCCGGGTATGGATGAGGATGTCACCAGCACAGGACATCACGCTGTCCCGATGGCTGAGCTTCTCCCACATCCTCACCACGTGTGTGTGGCAGATGGCAGAGGTGTTCTGGAAGCCCGGGGGCACCCTGGTGAAGGCAAATTGCCGTCCTCGGATGGTGAAGGCAAACTTATGCCAGCATTCAGGATGCAGGGGGATGGCAAAGGATGGGCTGGTGAGGCTGAGCACTGAGAACCACTCGGATCCCCGGGAGATGGCTGACATGATGCCAGGGTACTTGGCCCCTGTGGAGGTGTGCAGTGGGGTGACACAGTGCAGGGCACTGAAGTTGACTGTCAGCTTCCATGTTTTCCCATCAGCTTTCCTCAAGGGCCACACTGGGGCATTGCTGGTGCTCTGCAGCTCCACCAACACCCCCTGCTCCAGCAAGGTTTTGACTGTGCCCCACAGGCTGGCCTCAGCCTCAGCCGGGTACCAGGGCTGCGGCTGAGGAGGGGGATCCGGCCCTTTCACTGCTACAACAGCATCAATGTGCCCACAATCCAGCTTGCTCCTTGCCCAGACCCGGGGAAACTGCTCCGTGACCCGTTTCACCCTGGGTTCCCACTCAGGGTGCACCAGGAGCTCAGGGGCTTTCACTGACATCACCCTATGGCTCGCCGGGATGACGGGCACATCGCTCTGGGGGCAATGCAACAGCGCTTGGTTTGCCAAGTCCACCATCACCCCCATCTTTGTCAGGGTGGAGATGGCCAAAACACCCGTTTTTTCCCCTTTCATTTCCATTTTCCCAAATCTCTCAGACCCTTTGGCAGTGCCAATTTCAAAGGGCACGGGCCCCGTGAAGGCCACTGAGGATTTTTGGCCATTGGGCCCTATCAGTTCAATAATTTCACAAGTTTGGAAGGTCCTGGCTTCGCCAGGGGCCAGATTCAAAATGGAATAAGTGGCACCAGTATCAATTCTCATCACTTGTCCAAGCACCCCTCCTCCAATAGTTATATCAACTATCAGGCGCCCCCACGCGTCGGTCTTAATCGGTGCCACAAAGAGGGGCGATGCGGGTGCCTGGCAGCCCTATTGCTGAGCCTTAGACCCCGGGTCGATGGGGTGGGAGCTGCTGTGCTTTTTGGCCTCGTGCAGGGCCAGTTTACGGAAGAGCTCCGCATCCGGCAAGCCATCGATGTCCTCCTGCTTCTCATACTTTATCAAGCGCTTCCGCAGCTCGGCGCGCCAAGGGTTGGACTTCTGGAACCTCAGCCCTTGCTGGTTCTCCTTCCCTGGACCGCCTTTGCCATCGGGATCTTTCCGGTTGTCCCCTTGCATTTTTCTCATCCCTGCGTTTTGGTAGGGCATGGCTGAGGTTTTCCCTTTCTTCCCCCCCGGCATGTACCCTGGGAACGCCTGCTTCTGCAGCTCAAAGTTCTGGGTCAGGATCTGCTCCAGCTCCAACAATGGCTTTCTAGCTGCATCCCCCCCAGCAATCACCCGCAGTGGGGGGGTCAAACCCACCACCAACGGCTCCTTGAACTCAGGCCTGTCAAAATCAATGGGGGACTCCTTCGACCCGGGCAGCCCAGCCATCTGATAGAGCATCTTTTTACGGTTAACATAAGCATCGGGCCGCTCCTCGGGGCTTTGCTTCTCCTGGTGGAACAGCACTAAGGGGTTAATCTCTGGGAAGAACACCTTGAGCACGGCCAACTGGACATCCCCGATGTCCTGGACGTTCCCCATCTGCACATCCCCCGGCAGCGCAGCAAAATCATCCGGTTTCATGCACTTCCTCACCACGTCTATCAGGTCACTCACTAAGTTGCCACTCTGGCACCGGGGCAGCCGCTGGGCCCTGGACAGCCAGTTGACCGCTGTCTCCTTTGTCAATGGCCCCAGCATCTTCCCCACTGTCTTGAGCTGCTCAGGGGTGAACCACAGCACAGCCCTGTTGGTGTCTATGGCCTGCAGAGGCCCATGGCTGGCAGGCTCATCGGGGGGGCTCTTTTTAGGTTTGGAAGCCTCCACCTCCCCTCCTTGCATCTGACACATCTCCTCCCGCAAAGGAGCATAAGGGGACGGCCTGGTGGGGCCGTTGGCACCCCACACATCATCCTCATAGTCATAGTGGGGAGGGTGCGGGTCCAGGGAGTCCTCTCCCTGGCTATTCCCGAACCGGCCCCTCTTGCCTTGGATGGCAGCCACGATACCCCTCGACACCCCCAGCTCCGCCTGCAGCTCCTGGATCTTGGCATGGCACACTTTGTGATCGGGACCGGTGCCGCGGTCCCGCTGGACATCCTGCAGGACCGCCCGCACCGCGCTCTGCGCATCGTGGGTCTCCCCTATCCATTTGCCAACCTCCTTCTCCAGCTCCTCCGTTTTCAGCTTCTCATAGCCCAGCTTGCTCTCCAGCCGGGTGATCTCCACCGCGCTCCGCAGGGAGTCCCCGCACAGACCCTGCACCTCCGCACGCAGGTTGTCCACCTGCACTTTGAGCTCGCCCTTAGCCTGCTCCAAAGTCTGCACGTTCTCGAGAGCCTCCTTCAGCAACTTCGACAACTCCCTGCCCACCATCAACAGCCCCTGCAGAGCCGCTCGCTTCTTGCATTTGTTTGTGGGTTTGGGCTTTTTGGACTCCTCCGACCAGCTCTCCCATTGCTGGCAGAGCTGCTGGTACGCCTCCGGGCCCTGGAAGGACCCTGGGGACCAAACCGGAGGGAGACACTTCTGGAGCACAAACTGCTCCAGCTTCCAATTGCTAACGATATCGGTCATCATAGTGATGGGGACAAGATGTGAGACGGCTCCTTCTCAGGGCGAAACTACCCTAACAAACACCACCAACCCACCCGCAGAGGAAAGCTGCAGCTCCACAACCCAAAAGCCACCCAAAAAGCCACCCAAAAGCCACGCAAAAGCCACCCAAAAGCCACCCAAAAGAAAGGAGGGGATGCAGAACCTGGTAGCAAGGGAAAGGGAAGGTAGGGACGAATGGCGGTGGCCACCGTGACCCACCGCGGTCCCCGGGAGGGGAAGGGGAGGGGATGTGGGAAGGGGTGAAAGGGAGCAGAGGTGTATAGGACCCCAATAATAAGATCTCACCAATCCTTGGATGGATCCTGGCAGTCCTGGGGATCTGGAGAGAGACGAGGCAGAGTTCCGGTCGGTTGAAGCACCTTTAAGGTTAAGGTGGTTGCAGGGTCTCAGCCTGCTGGTTTTTATAGCCATGGCAGGTCGGTTTTGGGGGCTGATAATGCCCCTGTTTACTTCTATGGCGGGTCTCCCTCCTGCACATGTTTCATCTCTCCCCCTGTCTTCCCAAGGACACTATCCTTGTTTTTCTTTACCCTTTTTCGGCACTGATTAGGAAAGCAGGTGCGCTGCCCCTTATCTGTTTTGGGGGGGCCAGGATTAGTCACGCTCGCTTATGCTCACTTCTGCTTGCACCAAATGCCCTCAAGAGGGAGAGCTGGAGCTTGTCCGCTTAGCATCCATCCTCCCCATTCCCCCCAGTGCCCCCCCACTTGCTGTGCACCCCATTAGCACCTGGGGTTTGGGGGGAGATCACACTTGGGGCTCACATCTGACATCTGTAACACACACTGTTCCCCCTAAACCTCCCACCCCAAGCACAGGGGGGGAGAGGAAATGGCAGGAAATTCACACAATTCCTCATTTAGATCCATGCAGGCGCATGGAGTTCAAAAGCAGCATTTTCCACGCCGCAGACGGGCTCTCCACACGCTGGTGTGTGCCTTGGGGGTACCCCACGATGTGTCCGGGGCCTCAATTGTGCTGTTGCATCAGCTGAATCACAGCTGTAAATCTGCACCTGCAGAAGGCAGCCGGAGCCCCCAGCCTCACCCTACAAACCACATCTTAGAGCAGTTTAGAACAGAGAACTTGACCCACTTGATTGTTCTACCTGCCATTGCACTAACCCACTGAAATGCTTTGTTTTCGTCACTGCTTTTCCCCCTAATGAAATGCTGCAGAAGCTGCATCTTTTGCTGGAATAAATCATGTTGAAAATGTGGCTTGTTGAGTCCTGAGGCGTTTCCACCCAGCATCCTGTTATCCCCAAAGGGCCCTTATAGCCAGTTACTGCAGTACTGGCTGTGTTGGACCAGGCTTGAGGCTGAGCAGCCTTTCCCAATCCCCAATAGCAGAGGGGGACTGGATTTTCCTTTATTTGTTGGGAGCTGTTTCTCCAGCCTGGCATTTACAGCTGCAATTACCCCTGCTGCAACAGAGATGAAGCTCCAGCCAGGTCCTGCTTCTTGTCTGTAGACCTCTTTGTTCTACCCCAGTGCTTTGCTCCAGCCCCCCAAAACCAAACACTTTGCTGTAAGAAACCCATCATAGGGGAGACAAGAAAGAGCCAAAACTGTAATGAAGCACAGGGAATTAGGATTAGTGCACTGGATGCAGGCTGAGATAAAGGAGAGGGGCTGTTTTCCCCTGGGATGGGCCATAGGGCAAGTACCGAGATGGGGCAGGGAGGTGGCTGGGCTGGGGTCTGCGGTCATTGTCTTTCATTTCATGAAAAGAATAAATCCCCCATAGAAATTGTGCATCCAAATAACTCAAATACACCAAAATTCATCGATTCCCCACCACCACCCCCCCCCTTGGACCAGCCATGGGCCAAACACTCCTGATTTGGAGCCGCTGCACCTTAGCAAGGTCACCAACAAGCCTTGTTTGTGCTAACAAATCAGTTCAACCGACAGCAGGTTTTACTCCCCTGTCTTCTTCCCAGGACAGCAGCCCCAGACAATGTGGGGATGTCATAAACAGCAGCTGCTCTCCTGCACGTTCCCTCCATGCTTTATATTTGTTGGTGATAAAGCTGCCAGACAATGGGATCCCACCTCTGGAATGTTTTCTCTTAGGAGCAACACCGAGCCCTGAGAACAGTCTGGACACTGGGAAACGGCTCAACTGCACAGAAACAACATCTTTAAAGCCAAACTAAGAATTAAGCCCTGTTTCAGCACACACACCATGCTTTACATTGCAAATATTCCCTTTTCTTTCCATAGAGAAACGCTAAAGGTAAAAGCACTGCAGGGAAACATCTCTAAAGCTGCTGTAATGTGCTGGGGAATCCTCCAAAGCCAAAATACCTGCTTAGAAAACCCAGTGTCACCAGCCCTGCAGCAGCCTGGTGTCATGTGCCCCATGGCCGAGCTTTTAATGGTGACAAAAGCCACCTCTATGTGCACTTTGGTTCTGGCCAAGGGGCCAGAAGATGCTCGAGGTGACAGCAGCAGTGAGAAAAGGAGGATGCAGCCGTTGCTGCAGCCAGGGACATCGGGCTCAGCTCACAACTACACTGTGGGGATGAAGGGAAAATACACTCACAGTGGCAATTCTCATGTTAAGCACATGCACCCCCCCAAAAAGAGGTCTTTATACCCCGTTCTGGAGAGCTCCCAGTTCGGGAGTGATGTGAAACTAAAGGGAAAAGGCGAGCAGGAGGTAAGGAGGGGAGAGGCAGGGGTTGCTGCACCCCATTCCAGGGCCTCAGCTCTGAAAAGATGAGCTTTTAAGCACTGAAATGTGTTTGAAGGCACTAAAAGTACTTTCTCCTGCCAGGAAAGGGTTAAGGAGGGATTCAGCTGAGCCCTTTGTGGCAAGGCTTTCCGGCTAGCAGCCCGCTACGGGCAGGAAACTACTGAAACTGAAATGGGGAGGGGATGCGTTAGAGCAGCACGGGGACATCTGGTACAACACAGACCGAAACCTCACACTGTACAAGGTGCAACATCACCTTTTCCTATTCACCTGCTTGCTCAAACCCTGGGGGACGTTTCATGGTGCCCCCACGTGAGAGTCCTCAGGGATACCCCCCCTTTTGCTCAGGATCCAGCTATGGGGAGATGCTGAGGCTTTGGCAGGACCATGAGAGCAAGCTGCTCTAGTGGAAGGTGTCCCTGCCTGTGGCAGGGGTTGGAACTGGATGAGCTTTAAGGTCCCTTCCAACCCAAACCAGTCTGGGATTCTGTGTGATTCTGTATCTGCACAAACCTCTCCCTGCTGAAGGCATTTCAAAGCCAGATTTTCAGCCACTAAATTTGTTTGAGGTTTCTTGGTTTTGGCTTTAAAGCCTCGTGCCTCTGCCTTTATGGCAACCTACTTTGGTGTTCATCACTTTCCAGGCCTGGAGAATAACACCTTGTGCTAAAGATTCTGTGGAAGAGAACAACTGCACAGCTCAAATTGCATCTTTTCCTTATTTTGAGTGCTTTTTGGTTTCAAAAGGGGAGAAAAAGGCAAAAATTTATCCCTTCCTGCTTTCATTTTTAGCACTAAGCTCCTACATTTGTCATTTTTCAATTGCACGGAGCTAGATATAAAGGAGGGGGAAAGAGGTGACGAAATACGAAGTAATCATAATTAAAAATCAGTGAGTTCTCCTTGGTTTTATTCCTAAAGGGGGTCTGGGGGGATCCCAAGCTGGAGCAGTGCATGGGGCTGCTGCCCTGATGCACACCTGGATGTGGGGCTCAGTGCAGAAGCAGGGACCACGTTGAAGCTCTGGGCGCTGCCACAGATGCTCTTTGGTAGCTGCTGATGAGACGTCTACATCAAGAAGAGGAAGAACCTCTTGAGGTAAAGCCAGCCCTACCACTAAGAGGGGACCCTGCGTGGAGAGGGGAGATGGCACAAAACCCCTCCATCACTGGCTCCACCACCATGGCCCAGCTGTGGCTCCATCTCTGCATCTGCCTCCAGATCCCAGGTAAGAGGGATGCGTTTCTTAAGGGTTAAGGGCATCTAAAATCATGATGGAGCCTCTCTTCCACCCTGCTTTAGCACGTGGGATTTTACACAGCATCTGCATGATGGAGGTTTAAATGTAGGATAGATTACAGGATATTATTACCTATATTACTGCCTATCGTTGCATAATTTTGTACAATGCCCTTAATAACATGCTTTAGCTTCTGGTCAGTGCAGAAGCTGGGGCCTGAAGTGGTCAGGCAGTTGAACTCGATCACTGGAGATCCCTTCCAACTGAAATAGTCTACTCTCTACTCTACCCTACTCTACTCTACTCTACTCTATCCCAAGTGCAATATATAATGGTATAGATACCACCGAATTCATTTTTCCTGCACCCTCTTAGTGCAGATGTGCTGTGGGATGCTCCTGATGGAGAAGTCAAAGCAGCACCTATCTATGCTACCACTGTAACATGAAGACAATAACCATCCCATCAAATTTTCCTCTAAATCTATCCAAGGATTGAATGTTTCCCAAGGGCCAAGCTGGAATGGGTGTTATAAAACCATACTGCCTTCTGCTTATTGCAGACAGGTTGGAGGAGGTTTGAACTGAATTTATAGTCGATGTCACGGCACAGTGATAGAATTGTGCTCTAAGGGACAATTTTTGCCATCAGTTCTCAGGTAGAAAGTATTGGAAGCTTGAAACACAGCTTTAATGTATATATTTGAGTAACAGCTCAAGTTGGTCCCCCAAAATGCTGCCCAACATGGGTCCAAAGCTGCCCAGCTCCCTTGTTGGAGGCTGTCAGGACCGCAGGGTGTTTCTTCACATTGTGTGATGGTCATCCAGCTACAGCATAGCGCAGCTGAGCAGGCAGCAAACAGCCTGAGGCACTTGCATACAGGTAGTAATATCCTATAGATCTATGCAGTGGGGTCCCTGCTGAGAAAGCCCCAATAAATCGGTTTGCTCTGCACATGCAAAGGGAAAAGGGATCATTTTCGAGCTGCTGCAGGCTGGTGTAGCTAAACACATAGAAACAAGCCCATCCCACCCCAACTCCCTGGGGTCTCCTGATGGAATATACATTGGGAAAGGGGACGGGTAGGGTTTAGGGAATGAAGTTGTGGCAGAGGATGAGCTTTTCTGCTCTGGCTCTGCCCCAGCTCACCCCACTAGAGCTTGACCACTGACACAGAGCTGAGCTGAGCCTTTGCCAGGATCCCTTCTCATCCATGTGTTTGCCAGAGCAAAGTTCACCAGGATTCCACTCCAAAACCTGAAGATTATGTATTTTATTAATAAGGAGACATTTATATTGTCACAGCACCAAAGGGTGCGGTGAAATGCTGCAACTGCATCAATGCTGCCTTGAATTTGGCATTGGAATATTAGGGCTGAAGCCTGCTCGTCTGTGAGGTGCACCAACAGCGATGGGGTCATTGGTGTGGGGACAGAGGAAGGCTCTGGACCTGTGTCAGTCACCAGAGCCCTCTTCTTTGCCTGTCCCCATGGGGGACATCAGGCCCATGGGCTTCAAACACAGGTCATACAAACCTGGATTTGAAGGCTGCATGAGGCTGTTTGCAACAACTACTGGAAGCAGTTTGGGGATTTTGAAGGAATAGGGACATTTTAAGGTAAAACAAGGCCCCAAAATGTATTTTATTGAGCTTTTTGCACAGCTTCAAAACACGTCTGGGAAACAGGCGGGGGAAGCGGGAGCACCCTTATCTTCAGAGGGCTGTTTTTCACCTGGTCTCTGAGTTATCTGCAGCTTTGTAGGCCTGTTTGCTTAACAGAAAGGATCACAAGCCGCTGTTATCCTTGGCACAAGGACGCATCCTGGCTCTCACACAGGCGCAGCTCCCATCTGCCTGTGCCAAACACGGCTCAGATAATAGCAAAGGAGCTTCAAAACTCAAACAGGGCGATGCGGTGCCAAAGCCAAGCTTTCAACCCCACCGCCACCCCTCATTCCCCCTCCCTTCCTCTCCAGCTCCTGAAATTCATATGAAACTAATGTAATTTGAAAATTAATAACAAATCGGCTCATTTTGAGGTGTTTTGCATGATTTGGGGTCTTTTTCTGCACCTGCGGTGAAGTTTACCGGGGTTGCATCTGTTAGAACCAAAATGTGGCAAATAAGTTAACAGGCTCAAACAAAATCTGTTGAAAGAGAGGTGAATCCTCTCTGAAAAATGGAAAAGGAGGGGAGAGGGGCATCCATAGGAGTAGGTGGGGATGCTCTGCCCTGTACATACAGTCCTGAGGACACCCTAAAATCACCCCTCCATCCCCATGCACGGCATTAGCCTCCCCCCTAGATGAGTGTTTAGAGGGTATAGTCTGTTTAAATACATGTATACTACCTAACTACAGATACACTACCTATTTAGGTATAGATATACTTACCTGTCTAACTACAGATATACTATTTAGATAGATATTTAAGTACATGTATGCTACCTGTCTAACTACAGATATATTATGTGTTTAAGTACATTATATATTAACTACAGATATACTACCTATTTAAGTATAGGTATACTACCTATTTAAGTAAAGGTATACTACATGTTTAACTAGGCTTGACCAAAAAAACAGCTGGAGAACCCAAAAAGTCCTCTGAAAGAATATGGGAGCATCCTGATAAAGGTGCTTCTGTTTCTCAGTCGTGTGATCCCCTGGTCTGTAACTACCTGGTCCGTTTAATCCCACAAAGAACATCTGTCCTTAGCATGGAAGAAAAATAATGAGAAGCAAATAAGAACTCCTCATTCCTGTCCCTTTTTCTTTTAGGTTTCTGTGCAAACCTCCTTTTAACCCAGACTCCAAAGCACATTACAGCCCAAGCTGGCAATGAAACACAACTGCTGTGTGAGCTGCGGAGGGAGCACGCCGGGGTGTACTGGTACCGCTGGAGCCAGGAGAGGCAAAACTTTGAGTTCTTGATGTTTTCCAGCCCCATGGGCAAAGTCACCTATGGCAGAGACATGAGCCAGGAGAAGTTCAGTGCCCATGGAACAAGTTCCCTCACCTCCTACAGCCTGCGCATCAGCCGCCTCCATGCCTCGGACAATGGGATCTATTACTGCTCCATCTCCCAGTCCTCCCAGCTCATCCTGGGCACTGGGACACGGCTCAGTGTGGGTAAGCATCACCCCTGGGGGTCCGAAATGTACCAATGTGATGAGCAAGGGCAAGGGGTGATGCGTGGCAGTGGACCCTTCCCGATCTTGAAGTGCAAGAGTGGGGCTCTGGGGTTTGAGGAGACCTGTGAGACTGGATAAGGCAGAAAACACATATAATAATAGCTACATTTTAGGTCAGCTGCATGTAATAGTCCTTTTGCCTCCAGCAGTTGCTCTGCTGTGGTCATGCCTTGAGCACTGTGTTCGTCCTAGTGTTTTAGGATTCCCATGGGAAGACCCTCATCCCCTGATACCCTGTGCTTTCCTCATCTCCTGTGGTACTTCGGGTGAGAGGTTTGATGTGTGCCCTGTTTCTTCCCCACCCATCCATGTGAAAGAGCAGCATTAAGGCCTGAGGACATCATCCCTCACATCTCCGGGTGGCTCAGGCTGCAGGTTTCGAACCTGTTCTTCACAAAGAACATTGAAATGGGATTTATTCCTCAAAGCCACTGTTACTGGGGAGCTCTGACCGTAAATCAGAGCTCTCTATGGGTGGCATGGGGGGGTAATGATGCTTTACAGACCCTGGGTCAGGATGCAGCTCTTTTCAGCCCATTTTCCCCTTGACCACAGAGCAGGAGGATAAAATGTATCAAAACTAACGTGTTTGAAGCAGGATTCAGCCCTTTCTTTGTAGGCTTTTAGGTAGGAAAATCACTTATTTAACCCAGATGCAGCCCGAGAGTCCCAGACTTTCTGGGTTGTTTTTGTTGCAAACGCACCCTGCACCTCGAGCTGGCTGAGAAACCCCTTCTGGACCCTTGCTGGATCAAAGAAAAGCCGTTTGCAGATAAAGGAGAACTGGTTTTCATCAGCCGAGCCCATATCTGTGCAAAGCAGGGCACGAAAAACAGGGTTGAAACTCAGCACCATCAAGGACGCTCTAATTAGAACCCAAACAGCAGCAGGTGCTCTGGGAGGATCAGGCTTTGCTTTTCCTCCTTTGAGTCCTCTTGATAAAACGGGTTGTTTGTAAGTTCCTTTTGTTGAAGTCTGTTATAACGTAAGGGAAAAGTTGTCCAGATAAATCCCAGGCACCCAATGCCTCATCTTTCTATGTAAAAGAGCAGTGATTTCCATAGGAATGTCAGCCCTAAACCAGAAAATCCGGTTTGAATCACTGCAGATTGTGCAGTTTGAGCAGTCAGGTTTAATGCCATTTTAATTTCATTTTATTGGGGTATTTTAATGTAGTATTCCTGGGTGCTTTCCTGCCCACCTTTACAAAGAGGTGAATGTGCCCCATTGCAGTTCAGATGCACCGTAAGAAATCCTGCCCTCGTTTTACCAGGAAAGAAACAAACAATCCAATTTGGAGCCAAGATTAGAGGGATCTGGATAAGAAAAGACCCAGGGATCCCTCAAACCCCCCCCCAGTGCTGCTGAAATCTGCTGCCCAGGGGTTTGTGCAGCGCTGAAGAGGTGATGCCTGGCAGTAAAGGGAGCTCGGTGTAAGCTTCTCCTCTCCCTCAGCCTCCTGCCCCTCATTGCCCTGTACATCATTTCATTGATGCTTTTACAGGTTCTTGGTAACTTCTGTGGCCACTGAGAGGTTCAGGTCGAGCTCCTGGCCCCTCCAGCCCTTTGCAGGGGTCGATGGATGGGGCTAGGTTGAAAAGCCCAGACCTGCAGCCCCTCTGACCTGCTCCCCACCGCACTCAGTGCCGCACTGACCGTCCTCTTCTCCTCCTTACCCACCAGTTGATGCCTTTCCTCTGCCTTCAAAGACCACTCAGGCCCCACTCTCCACAAAGCCCCTGCAGTGCGTGACCAAAAGCAAAGCTCCCATCAGGAAAGGTATGAATGACGCTGGGTCTGCTCAGTGCAAAAGGGGTGTGCTGAGCTCCTGAGGTCCCCAGGGTTCAGAGGCAGTTTGTCCTGGGGGGGGGAGCAATCACAATGTTACCCTGTAGGGATGGGCACCTGGATCTGTGTAAACCCATCACTCCGGATGGAGCTGACCTCTGCCTTTAGGAGTGCTCCCCTGGGATGTACACGGGTTTCGGGGCCTGAATGTGTTTCAGTTTAGGCACCGTGACTCAACTCATTGAGTTCCCTGCAATGCCCTCGGGTGTAATGCATCCTCCAAGGGATACCCCAAGGTGATGGTCACGTTCCCAACCCTTCCTCTGAGGACCTGCCTTGTTTTCCTCCCTTTCCCACCTCATGCTCCATCCCTCAGAGCTGATGGTGCTGAGTCCTCTCCTTCCCTCCAGGTGCCTGCAGCCCCCTGGTCTGGGTCCCGCTGGCCTCCACTGTCCTGGTCCTCCTGCTGAGCCTGGTCCCCATTGCCCATCGCTTCCACTGTAAGCATCCTGCCGGGGGACCACAAGGGGTGTCAGGGCCTGGGGCAGCCCAGGAGCAGGATGGGGAGCTGGGAGCGGGTCCTGGAGCTGACTGACACCATCTCTCCCCAGGTATGAAGCGGAGGCTGTGGCTTCGCATCCACAGGCAGTAAATCCCACTGGCTCCTCGGGCAGACAGGGAGAAGCTACGGACCCCCCTGCCTGGACATGACCCAGGAAGGATGTTACAGGAGACAGACATAAGCTTGTGCTGCCAGACAGACATTTATTCCCTGTGACAGACCATGACTTTAACAGGTTTCCTTACCACAACAGCTGGCAAAGGGACCAGGCTGAGCACTTCTCCAAGGTTGCTGAGCAGGGCAAACACCATGGCTGGCTCTGCACTGGGAGTACCGGGGCTGGTGTACCAAAGAGGTTCAGGTGGGCTGGAAAGGTGCTGTGAGCTCCTTGTCTCTCCTCTATGTTCATCTATAGGACAGCATGAAGGTGCTTTTGCTTTGCTCCTGCTAATGCTGGTTGATAGAACTTTGGTAATGAACGCTTTGAGAGCAACAGGTAGATGGAGGGGCAGTTCTCTGCACAGCTTGTAAAGGCCCTGTACAGACATGTTTGTTAGCAACAGGGAATACATCTCTTAGCCATTTTGCTTTATAAGCCGGTGTCTTGTGCCCTTGCTCAGTGGGAACATGGATGCAGAGCAGGCAAGAAACCATGGCCTCTGCCCAAGCAAGAGTTAAAGCAGAGCGAAAGCTCCGGGGGAAGCAGGTCTGGGAGGGAGTCTTGTCCCATGGGAGACTGCAAACAGGCAGGAGTGGGAGATGAGAGCCAGACAAAGCCATGTGTGCAAGGACAAGCACCTGGCACAGCCTGAAGGCCAACAGAACCTCTGGGAACAAACAGAGGGAGCTGGGGCTGGCCCTGAGCCCAGCAACTTGGCACAGAAGCGTGGATTGCTCCGAATGATGCCTGTGTGTGCGGAGCCCTGAGCAATACCCATGTGTGCTGAATCCTGATTGTGCTGAGCTCCAAGCAGTACCCATGTGTGCTGAGCCCCAAGTGATACCCATGTGTGCTGAGCCCTGAGTGATACCCATGTGTGCTGATCCCTGAGTGATACCCATGTGTGCTGAGCCCCAAGTGATACCCATGTGTGCTGAGCCCTGAGTGATACCCATGTGTGCTGATCCCTGAGTGATACCCATGTGTGCTGAGCCCCAAGTGATACCCATGTGTGCTGAGCCCCAAGTGATACCCGCGTGTGCTGAGCCCTGAGTGATACCCATGTGTGCTGAGCCCCGAGTGATACCCATGTGTGCTGATCCCTGAGTGATACCCATGTGTGCTGAGCCCCGAGTGATACCCATGTGTGCTGATCCCTGAGTGATACCCATGTGTGCTGAGCCCTGAGTGATACCCATGTGTGCTGAGCCCCGAGTGATACCCATGTGTGCTGATCCCTGAGTGATACCCATGTGTGCTGAGCCCCAAGTGATACCCCTGTGTGCTGATCCCTGAGTGATACCTGTGTGTGCTGAGCCCTGAGTGATACCCGTGTGTGCTGAGCCCTGAGTGATACCCCTGTGTGCTGAGCCCTGAGTGATACCCATGTGTGCTGAGCCCTGAGTGATACCCATGTGTGCTGATCCCCGAGTGATACCCATGTGTGCTGAGCCCTGAGTGATACCCGTGTGTGCTGAGCCCTGAGTGATACCCATGTGTGCTGAGCCCCGAGTGATACCCGTGCGTGCTGAGCCCTGAGTGATACCCATATGTGCTGAGCCCCGAGTGATACCCATGTGTGCTGAGCCCCGAGTGATACCCATGTGTGCTGAGCCCCGAGTGATACCCATGTGTGCTGATCCCCAAGTGATACCCATGTGTGCTGAGCCCTGAGTGATACCCATGTGTGCTGATCCCCAAGTGATACCCATGTGTGCTGAGCCCTGAGTGATACCCGTGTGTGCTGAGCCCCGAGTGATACCCATGTGTGCTGACCCCGAGTGATACCCATGTGTGCTGAGCCCTGAGTGATACCCATGTGTGCTGAGCCCCGAGTGATACCCATGTGTGCTGAGCCCCGAGTGATGCCTGTGTGTGCTGATCCCCGAGTGATACCCATGTGTGCTGAGCCCTGAGTGATACCCGTGTGTGCTGACCCCGAGTGATACCCATGTGTGCTGAGCCCTGAGTGATACCCATGTGTGCTGAGCCCCGAGTGATACCCATGTGTGCTGAGCCCCGAGTGATGCCTGTGTGTGCTGAGCCCTGAGTGATACCCATGTGTGCTGAGCCCCAAGTGATACCCATGTGTGCTGAGCCCTGAGTGATACCCGTGTGTGCTGAGCCCCGAGTGATACCCATGTGTGCTGAGCCCTGAGTGATACCCATGTGTGCTGAGCCCTGAGTGATACCCATGTGTGCTGAGCCCCAAGTGATACCCGTGTGTGCTGAGCCCTGAGTGATACCCGTGTGTGCTGAGCCCCGAGTGATACCCATGTGTGCTGAGCCCTGAGTGATACCCATGTGTGCTGACCCTGAGTGATACCCATGTGTGCTGAGCCCCGAGTGATACCCATGTGTGCTGAGCCCCAAGTGATACCCATGTGTGCTGAGCCCTGAGTGATACCCATGTGTGCTGAGCCCTGAGTGATACCCATGTGTGCTGAGCCCCGAGTGATACCCATGTGTGCTGAGCCCCGAGTGATACCCATGTGTGCTGATCCCTGAGTGATGCCTGTGTGTGCTGAGCCCCGAGTGATACCCATGTGTGCTGAGCCCTGAGTGATACCCATGTGTGCTGAGCCCTGAGTGATACCCATGTGTGCTGAGCCCCGAGTGATACCCATGTGTGCTGAGCCCCGAGTGATACCCATGTGTGCTGATCCCTGAGTGATGCCTGTGTGTGCTGAGCCCCGAGTGATACCCATGTGTGCTGATCCCTGAGTGATACCCGTGTGTGCTGAGCCCTGAGTGATACCCATGTGTGCTGAGCCCCGAGTGATACCTCTGTGTGCTGAGCCCTGAGTGATGCCCATGGATGCTCAGCCCTGAGTGCTGCCAGAAGCAGGGTAGGTCCCCCCAGGGATGTTAGCAAGGCTCAGCCACTGCTCAGGTCTGCAAGACTTACATGTGGCTGGAAGTCCAGCATGGTGCTGAGCGCAGGGAGGGAACACTTGCTCCCAGATGCAAACACACCTCTGCTCGGCCACAGGCACCAGCACAAGGCTGCGTCGGCTACAGCGAGTGCAAGGGGAAGGTGGCGCAGTGTGGGTGGGAAAGCCAGCAGCTTCCCTTTACTGCTGGGCCCTCCTGTCCTGCACACTGCACGTGTCCTTAGAGCTGCCCACAGGACAAGGGCTGATGTGGCTCCACAGACCCCAGGGCCAGGGCAAACACTGGCATGGGAAGAGCTTGTGTGGGTGTAAAGCATGACAGTGGCACTGCAGCATCCCTCCGGCCTCCCTCCCTCCCCTCCCAGCTGCTGGGAAAGGCTGCTCTCCATGTTAATACAGGTTTCTCTGGAGGGCTTGGTCTCAAGCCCAGCTCCTCGGATGGATGTTTCCCCCAGGTGATGCAGTGATAAAGCTATCAATGGACCACACCGAGCCAGCTTCCCCAGCCTGGAATGCTCACCAGGCTCTCGGGCCACTCCAGACCCCATCCCACCAGAGATGCTGCAGTGGGGGTCCTGTAGAATCTCCTCTCTGACACACCATACCAGCAGCACATTTTAGCCTCTGTGAAAGCTCAAATGAACCAAACCCACCATTGTTCTACCCTGCAAGTGCTCAGGGCACAAAGCTTCACCCCAGGAGCAGAGGATTGTTATGATGTTTGTTTTGTACAGGACAGATACGAGGAAACCCCTTTCGAACTCCCCATGGGCACAGGTTTGTTCTTTCAAACCCAGGGTTTTCCCTCTGCCTGCAGCTGCTTTTGAGATCCCAGCTCTATTTGCCATGCTTGAGGCATCCTGACCTTAATGTCCATACCTGCTTCACCTCTCGGCCAGCACAGGAGATGCTCTCCTATGGCCAAGCAGCCAGGGCAGCAAAAGGCAGGCTGTACCAGTCCAGTCCCCCTCTCCCACGGGAAGATGAGCAGCCTTAGGGATAACCCTGCCTGGTTCGCTCCTTCTCCCTCCATCCCCATGCTCAGCCCATCCTCACAGTGTCCAGCCCTCACCAAACCCCCCCAGGACAGCACCACCTTGCCTTGATAGCCTTCAGCCACCCAACTCCAGTAACACCCATTCAAAGGATGGGGATTTACCCCTCAGCTCTCTGGATAACTCTAACAGGCAGGAAGAGTTTGTTCAGCGTCCAAATTCTCCAATTTGACTTTGTTGTTCCTTTGAAATTTGAAAGGAAAAACCCTAAAAACCCCAAATTCCACATCATCTGTGTGCAGTCAAAACAGGAGAGGTCAGGAACGTCCCCAGTCCTGTTGATACGCAGGTTTGGCACTTTACCAATGGAAATGATGAAATAAATTGCTCTAATTCCTATACCCCTCAGTAGGGTGTTTTAACATTAAACCTTGGAGAGATTTTAGCAGCAATTTCACAGCCATGGGAGCCAGGGGAAAAAAATCACCTCCATTTCATAGACTTTTCCCAGAGCACACATAAGAAACAGAAATGCTAATAAAAATATGCTTTTATGTCTGAGAAAATGACCTGGTCCCTTGATACCTGCAGCTTCTTTGGTTTTCTTTCCTACCTTGTCATTGTGCTGAGAGCACGGTGGTGACACCAGCCAAAAGTCAGGGATGCTGAGTTATGGCGCATGGGGGAAAAGGGGTGATTCCATCATGGAAGCTAATGGGAATATATTTCTGTGCATCTCTGCTAATGGCTTGGTGCCTGCATCCATGGATGGAGAGATGCAGGTAACAGAACTGCCCATCCCAATGCTACCCAGCCACAGTGCCCTGACAAATGAGAGGCCCTGATTTATTCCTCCTTTCCTTCTGAGGATGGAGCAGCCATCTGCTGTCCCCCACTGTCCTCCTGCTCCCCGCAGCAGGGAACATCCATACCTAGAAAGGAAAACACTGGGATTTTATCCATGGCCCCAAACCCTCACACCAGCATAAATGATTGCTGTCATCTTACATGACAGAAGGAGACAGCCCAAAGACCAGACAAAGACAAAAGGGCTTTGAATAGAACAAGGAGTTTTTCCCAGATCCTAAGCACAAAACGTTACCTGTGTTGTACCCATCCCTGTGAACCACTGGGCAAGGAGTTGTAAAAGAGGGCAAAATTACACACTGCAATGATCTGTTGTTATTATTGCTTTATTATCTTAATGGTTTATAGTCT